AAAAAGAGAAAGAAAATGATGAAAAAAAGAAAAAAATGAATTAAAAAAAATGAAAAAAATTCATTTAGGGGTGCAATTGAAGCAATTAGGGGTGTAATCGAGTCAATTGAAAAGTTTAGGCCTTAAATTGCACCTCCGGGGACCTAATTGTTGAGATTACATTGAAATTATTTCGCAGAGGGGCATAATTGCTGAAATTGAAACTCGAGGACCAAACCGGAAGTTTGGAGCGAACGACAGGACCAAAATGGAGCAAACGACATGTCGTTCACTCCAAGGCGATTCTTTCCGAAAATCTTTGGGAGAATCTGCCCAAATCCTCCATGAATTTTGTGTTTTTGATTGTGTATTAATCGTGGATTTTGTTGCCGAAACCAACACTAACGAGAATCAATGAGAATTTCCCGTTTTGATTTCACAATTAATCCCAAATTAAAGAGGAAGATTTTGACGGAAAATTCGTGGATTTCAATTCAATTTAGGAAATTGTTTTGGCTATAAAATGTTTGAATTTCAGAAAGAAAAGGAGGAATTTTTTTTTTGGGCGAACAATTTCGGGTAGAGAGAGTTCAAAATCGTAAGCAACAAGATTTAATTTTGATTTTTGGCAACCGAGTTTCTTGGGTTTCGGGTTCCGGGTTGAAGTTCTTGTTCGGGTTTGTGTTCTTCAACCCGGAATAAGTTGGAGACCTTTTTTAGTGTTGATTCGAGGGAGTTTTTGGTTCGGTAAGGTAGAGGAAAAGAAATCGAGAGCAAGGTTTCGTTCGTGGTGTGAGAAACAAGCATCCGCGAGTGTTGCATTTCGGTTTTTTCCATTGAATTTTTCTCGGGTTCATCTTGTCGCTCTTTGGAATTTTTCCAGGTGAGTTCCCTAAATTCGATTCCCTCGTTCCTTTTTTTATTTCATTTTTTTGTTTAATGTCGGATGTTTACTTGCTATTTAGTTCTTGTTTTGAATTACAGTGTGTGTGATTGAATGTGTTGTTTGAAAAGGGGCTTAATTTTTTTGAAAAATTTGAAGAACTAGAGAGAGAAAATGAAGAACACGAAGAACAGGAGAGAGAAAGCTTAAAACTGAAAAAATTTGGTTTTTGATCCGAAAATTAAAAAAGAAAGAAAACGGGTCCGTTTTCGGGCTTGAGATCCGACCCGATCCGCGGCCCAAAGAAAAAGAAAGAAGGGTTGAGCCGATTTCGGCCCAACGCAACCCGATGCAAAAAAACAAAACAAAAGGAAATCCAACCCACACCCTTTCTTGAAAAAAAAAACAAAGAAAAAAGGGAAAATGAAAAAATAAAAATAGAGTTAGGAAGGAAAAATAAGAAGAAAAAAAAGAGGAAAAAATAGGGATGGATGTAAAAAAATAAAAATAAAAAATAAAAATTGGCGGGTTAATATTTTAGGTATAGGATTTTTTTTTTATTACTTTTATTGTTCATTTATTTTTTAATCTGTTTATATGGGATGATTTTTTTTTCTTTCTTTTATGATTTTTTTAGCCTGTTCATTTTTATTCCTCGTCGTTTATTTTTTTTAGTTTAGAATTGCTATTTCAATTTTTGTTTGTTTTCTTTTCTTTAATATACATTTTTTTTTTAAAAAAAATGGCGAAGTCTCCTATTTTATAGGGACCGACGCCATACAAAAAAAATGCCTAAAAATTTCGACGAAGCCTCCTATTTGATAGGGGCGACGTCATCAAAATCACTTTCAATTAAGACGTCCTCCGACACGCCGGTTGTGTCGAGGCTTTTAGTGGATCCGATATTTGAATCGACGTGTCACCCAACGAAGGGGACCGACGATCGTTTCAATATGATGCCATGCCCGTAACTAAAAAAAATTATTTAGGCTAAAAGACAAGAGATTAAAATTTAGAAAATAGCTTGGCATGGATTTTAGGAGATAATTCAGAACTAAATCGTACATGGTACCTTTTTTCGAAAAGGGCGCTTTTAGGTGATTTAATATCTTACTAAAAGCGTAACCAACTCCTTACCTTAGGAATCTCTCGAACCAAGTGCTACTTTTAGGTTCCTAGTTCCTTAAATACTAGGTGGCGACTCCAAAACTCCGTAAATAATTTTGATTAATCAACACCCGAACTACTCTTAAATTTTTCTTTTGGGGGGTTCCGTCCGACGTCGCGTAGCGACGAGTGGGGATGTCTTAAAATTTACTTTGCAGCTCTCCTGTTTATCATTGATATTTTCTTTTGTTTATATATATTGCTTGTTGACGTTTTGTGTGACAATATATATATATATATATATATATATATATATATATATATATATATATATATATATATATATACGAAAGTGCCAATACAATTGGACGTTGCATGTCATCATAATAGCTAGGAGGTTAATTTCTATTTGAAGTTTCGTTGGTGGGTGGATGGTTTCATGGTGTCAAAACAAGCTAAGCTATGCCAAAAACTTCATCTCACCAATAGCAATCATCGCTAAATTAATCAACAACTGTGTCAATGAATCCTCATCTTGGAAATTAGGTGATTATCCATGAAAAATAATACTGTCTGGTGCATGTTTATCCCTTTTTAAGAATGGAATGATTTATGCCAACTTGCAAAGGCGAAAATGACTTGTAATCTAATTAAAAAGGGTGGAGGTACCTATGATTATTAGTGCTTCTTGAATCTGGCTAAGCAGTAAGCACATACCAGAAATACAAACAACAACCAATGATATAATATTTGTATTTTTCAAAATTGTCGTCATTAGTTTGATTTTTTTTCTTTTCAATTTTTCATTCCTTATTTTTATGCATGCTAGAATCAGCCTACATATATGGTTTTTTTTTTTTTTTTTTTTTTTTTTTTTTTTTTTAAGATTTACAAGTTAGTTTCAATTTTTTGGTCCTGTTTGGGGCTTTTTTTTTTTTTTTATAGGTTTTTCAAGTTTTTATTTTGATTTTAAAATAATTTTCTTTTTTATTTTTTTAAAATAAAAAAATGATTTTTGAAATTCAAATTTTGATTTGGGGTTTGAGGGTATTTTTGTCTAAAAAGTAGCAAAAGGATATTTGAAAAAGAATATAAATATAAAAGGATGTATGATAGCGAAAAATTCTTAATATACCTAATATATAACAAGATTAATTAGATCATCTTACGCGTTGTTGAGCCGAAATAGGAACAATAATGGATTAACCGACCATAATACGTTTAAATACCTAACCTTTGGCCCATAAGCCATCAGATACCTATAAGCACTAAATAATTAATTATGAGACTGCTGCAGGCTGGAGGAAAAAAATCAAATTGCTTCTGGCCAGGAACCAGCTTGTGAAAACGATGGCTGCCGACTAATTTTCAGGTGGTGGGTCAATACTCAATACCCCACGTCAAGGCTTCTCAAGGGAATGAGAAAATTTGCAGTTTGTATGTTTTTTTTTTTTTTAACTATTTAAAATCACTTGAAACTAAAAAAAATTAGTGTATTAAAGATAAACAATCACATGACAATTTTAACTGACACATGTCAAATAGTGGATTATACGTCGACTATTTAGAAAAAAATTATAATTTGAGTGCTTAAATTTTGATTATTTTTCTGTTTAAATCTCTAATGTTTGATTTTTTTTTTTTTTTCTATTTGAGTTGTTTTAGTCACCTAGACTAAAAATATTGACGTAATTAGAATATACTGATATGTAGCAATCTTTAATTGATACGTGGTAAAAATTGAGTCCCTCGGATTTATTAAAAAAATATTAAAACCTCTATAGAAGAAAATAACTTATAATAATTAAAAAATTAAAATTAATTACTGTTAATTGAATAAATACAACAAGTTTGCTAACTAATTTCTTAAAACACTTCAAAATAACATCGTCTAAACATTTTATTTACCTAATTCAAGAGTTTTAACATTGGATTATTTAAACAATTCAAGTTCGTTCGGCTAATAATAATTAATTTTAATTTTTTTTTAAAGTTGCTAACTATTATCTTTTATAAAAGTTTTGTAATTTAATTTTTATTTTTTCTCAATTAATCTGAGTGGAACTCGCTTGTTTTTATATGTCAATGGATCTCAGCCACATCATTATTTTCTAGTTTCAAGTGATCGAGGAAACTCAAATTAATAGGAAAAAAATCAAACATTGAGAGCACAAAAAAATATATATTATCAAAAGTTGAACACACAAATTGTATTTTTATGTAGAAAATATTGAAGTCATTGGAATTTGTTGACATACAACAGTATTTAACTGCTAAATGGCAAAAATTGAGTCTCTATTCGAATTTATTGAAAAAAATTATAAAATCCTTATAGAAAAAAATAACTTGTAATAATTAAAAAAAAAAAGTCGGAATTGTTTTATTCGAAATGAATTCTTAATTAGATATTCTTTAGATGGATCATGCGAGTCAACTGCTATACTATTAAATAACATAACTAACAAAAATATATACTTCCCACTTAACAAAAGATTCTTTAACATTAAAGTAAAGTTGATGTCCTTTGATTTTGCAAGATCACAATAGAGTTACGCATGCACTTGCGTTTCCAATATATTGAATGCCATGTCCCTTTCACATTAGATGATTAATACAAATTGGAACTGATATGAATGGCACATCTAAACCACTTGTTTCATTTTGGTAAATGTTCAAATCCTAAATTTAGGGTTCGAGCCAACGTTATAAATCATATGAATCACAGGGGTCAACAACAACGTCGCCATTGACCATTAATTCACATGCTTTGCAATGGAAAAATCAACATGTTCACACTAGCTCACACGAGAGGTCTTTCAAAGATTAAGAGCATGAGAGGCTTATTGGACAAAATGGACCTAATCTACACATTTTAAATCCTATTTCACCTAACTTAATTTGAGAACTCAGAGCTCCCATTTGTTTCCACCCATCTCTTAAATGGATTGAGTCTTTTTGACACCTATTTTTTGATTTCCAAGTACAGCCAGGCCTAAAAGATACAAAAAAAATAGCCAAGGTAGATATAATAATGGAGAATCTGATATGTCATCTCCAGGGCATGAATGGTGACCTGCTAACCGGTATCATGGCTCGTGTCGATGGTTCAGACCTGGCCTCAGTTGCTTGTACCTGCTCTGAGCTCCGAGACATTGCTCGGGACCAAAGCTTGTGGGAAACGTTATGTCATTCCAGGTGGCCTTCTACTGCTCTTGAAGAAACAGAACGTCTGATTTCAGGTTCTGTTCAGGGTTGCTTCGACAAATTCTACTCGGACGCCTGCCCACTTCTCTTATATGATGAAGTTGCCAATGCTGATTCTTGTAAACTGCCGGAAGGCCAGAAAATAACATCATACACTTCCCCTTCTGACCTACTGTCACTAGTTGATGTTTGTTACAAGAAAAAATGTGTCCTCTCGAGGATTTTGGATGGCATACCTGAGGCTGTGGATATATTCGAGCTGGGACTCGTTGACAGCAGCTGGGAAATGATCGCTGATGAGCAGCAGAAATGGTTTCTAAATTATCCATTTAAACTGGAGTTAATGGACCTTAAAGATGATGACAATGATGAAGCATTAGCTTCTCCTCTATCATCACTCAATGAGGCTGGAAAATCAAGAGAAGATCATTGCAAGAAGCTGATAGAGAATCTCAGGTTGAGTTGGATATTGGTGGACAAGAAGACAGGCAAATCTGTAAATCTCTCAAGCTGGAAGCCATTATCAGTCCAGAAGGTTTGGCCATATCATGCAACTTATACGATGCAATTTGGCTGCGTTATACCTGTGGAAGAAAGTTTGCTGCCTCAGAAGCTGGCCAGGTGCATGGTAACGACTAGATTCAAGATGACAGAAAGAGAAGAGTGCCTGCAATGGAGGGAAATAAGCATGAGAATTGAGAACATTGAAGGTGCCCATGTCAATGGATGGAGTAGTCTGATGATTCTGAATAAGGCCCTTTACAGCCAGCGCAGTACAAATCAGTTTAAAGTGGAAGCGGGATTCAGGAAGTTTGATAAACAGAAGAAAGAAATGAGCAGGAGAAGGGAGTCCAAGGAAGCATTGGCTGACAGACTTTTTACAGTAATTGAGATCACAGTTTTAGTAATTTTTTACTTTGCTCTTAGGTTGCTAGTTTAGCATTCTCATATCAAGGGGAAATGTAAACTGGAAATGCAAATTCTCTCAAGAATATTAAAAGATTCTGCACCATACTCCACTGACATGGTAATTGCTCAACTATGGGCTGAAATTCAACTGGATAAATCTTTTACAGATGTGATTGCCAGATTGGTACTCGGTATGAAGAAAATATTTGTCCCCATGAATCGTGAAGAATGTTAGAAATGGATACAATATAAAAAACAAAACACTATTCTCATTTAAGAGTTCCCTCGACGGTTTGCAGCACATCATCCTTCAGGAAAGTGTTTTAAATTATCCATTTAAGCTGGAACTATAAACTATTGGACCTTAAAGATAACAATAATGATGAGAGCTTAGCTTATTTGTTATCACTCAATGAGGCTGGAACATCAAGAGATCATAGCAAGAAGCTCACTGAAGATCTGAGGTTGAGTTGGTATCTGTGGACAAGCTTGAAGACATTATCAGGACAACAGAGCTGGCCTTTAAAACATGCTAATTTTATGATGTGTATTGGGTGCATTATAACCTGTGGAAGTAAGTCTGCTGCCTCACAAGCTGGCCAGAGGCAAAATAACTGCTAGCTTCAGGATGAAGAAGGAAGGTCGCTATGGGGGAACATAAGCATAAGCTTTGAAAACACAGCCAGGAACTTTCACCCAATACGTATATAAACATTGCCGGTGCCCATGTTAATGGAGGAAGAGGTTTGATGCTTCTTATTAAAAATAATGCCCTAAACAGCCCGCGTACTACAAATCAATTTAAAGATGGAAAAGGGTTTTCCAAAAGTATTGGGAAAGATGAGAGAATTGATCCAAAGGAGGGATTTCAGGGAAACATGGGTTGAGCCTTATGGATTCTGTACATTCATTCAGAACACAATACTTCAGTAATCTTTTACCATGCGATTATTTGCTATTTTAGCATTCTCAAATTGCAAGGTCAAGGTCATGTAAAATCTATCGGCTTAGTAGAAGATTCTACATCACACCGCTAACTATTTGCGCAATAATTGGCTGAAAATTCAACTGGATAAATCTTTTACAGATCAATGTGAAGAAACTATATGTCTGCATGATGAATGCCAGAAATGGGATACAATATGCCCCCATGATGAATGCTAGAAACGGGATGCAATATAAAACAAAATCTCTACTCTCCCTCCAGAGTTCCCATCACAGTTTGCAGGACATCTTCACGAAGCTTTCTCTGAAGTTCAGCGTGGTGCACTGAAAAGAGCTCTACTTATGATGCCAGTTGCTTCAATGTAGCGTTCCACACACCTAGATATGCAGCTACTTTCGCTCCCACTCAGGCTTGACCCTGGTTTTGTGATACACTTGTCAAAGCATTTCTCCCTCACAGTCTGCATTAAAACAGAGTTATAAGGAAAGTGGACAATTGTGCACATGAATAACAGTGAAGATATGGTAAAGTACAAGACATCAACTCCCATTTCTCAAATTGGAATTCAAGCAAGCATCGAAAAATGATTCAAAGGAATCAACTCCCATTTCTCAAATCAGAATTCAAGCAAGAACCAAAAAATGATTCTAAGAAATGTGCTACAAACGTCACTGAGGTCAATATTGTTAGGCAATCATGTCCAAAAAATTGATTATAAGTTCAGCCAAAAAGTGAGTCCAGAGCAAATTAGCTCTAATGTCCTCCCTAGCATACAAAACTTCCAAAATATGCGAGTCAAACTGAGGAAACAACTGCTGCTAAAGACCCCTAGTTGACCAAGGGTTTTTGAGAGATCTAGTGAATTGCAACTGATATATGTTGATAACTCAACCAAAACCCTACGAAACTACTCTATATTCAGATACAAATCCGTACATGTTAGCCAGGCTCAAAAAATAACAGGAAAGCATAGCCTATGCACAGCATTGTAACATGATGAACTGGAATTTCAGTATTAATATCAGGGCATGTGTGTTTACGTAACCTCTGCTGTAATTTTAATTACAAATAAATAAAGTAGCCAGAGTAAAACCTCTTCCAAGAAAATTGAAGTTACACAAACTCCAGTGTAAGTCTTAACACCTTCATTGGACCTTCATTGTTTCATTTAAGAGCACATGTCAGCAAATATATGGCAATAATCTCAACATCTGCATACAGCCATTGGACCAGATTGACATAAAAAAATTCTATTTTGATGATCAAAAAGATATTTTCTAATTCCACATTCCGACACACAGAATTGCACACGCAATCAGGGGCAGGCAACTAGACTTCACATCGATGACAAGATCTGAGTAAGTGGTGCATGAAATATCATTAAGACACCAAAGTAATGCCTCGCTCCTTTTTCAAAAAAAAAAAAAAAGGTTCCCTTCACAAGAGCTATACATATGAACACAAACAGGCACATTTACATGTATGTATTATCTCCAACTCTTAACCAATCACAACCTAGCCGAAGTAATTACTTATCGTAAACCGTAAACCATAAAGTTTAGATGTTCCAAACTCTCACAGTGAGCCACGCAATAATCTAAGGTTGTTCCCTAAAGCACAAAAGTTTACAACCCAATGATAGCAGAATCAACATTCCACCTAGGTCCTTCTCAAATGACCCTAAACCGATGAGAAAAACTACCAAATCACATTAATTGGAAAGTTCACCATGATCACAAGTACGGAATAAAAACCCCAGAGCTTGTAATGTATTCCCTAGAATTGAAAACTTAACCTTCACTCTCACATAAAAACCATAATAAACGAAAACCCAGATTAAAAATTTCGTTATTTGAACTGAAAATCACCTATAATTCATCTTTCACAGCTAAAAAAACACCATCTTTAGTCTACAACCCCCAAAAGACACTAAACCCAAAAGAAAACAATAAGAAATATCAACAGCACTACAAGCACATAAAAAAGAGAGGAGGATAATGATTAACAAAGAAAAAGTAGACCTCAAGGAACTCCTGGGCATAAGCTTGCGCAAGTTGAGTCTTTAACTGGTCCTTCAAATCTTCAGTTGACATTTGGGGTGACCCAGATCCCATACTTGAATGTGATGAAAACGAGTCCATTACTTCTTTCTTGCCCTTCTCCCTCTCTCCCTGTAGCCTCTGTGACTCTGTTTCGGTGCGTAAGGCGAGGGACAATATGGATATAAACCCTAGAGTAAGTATGGTGATACTTCTGTTTCTTGTTTTAATCCTTAAACCCTTGTTGGCCCAATTTGTTTTTCCCTGGGCTACGGCCCAGACTGGTTACAAAAATAGTTGGAGCCCAAAAAATATCACAATTGTCAACAAAATTTCTTTAAAAAATTAATATCACACTAATGGATCACATAAATCTAATCAAATATTTTTCGAACATGGTTTCTTTTATTTTCTATTTTTTATTTTAATACTTTATTTTTTTTTATTGTGATTTTAAAATGATTTCTTAGCAATAATTTTTGTTAATGTGATAGTAATATTCTTAATGATATGGTTAATTATGAGTTGGCTTGCTCACTATTGGGAATGAAATTTTTTTATTTTTAAAAATACTTAAAAATAATCATAAATTCAACGCCTCTCTCCTTCCAATATATATATTTGAATTTGTGTTCTTTAAATTTATTTAGATTTAATTTTCAATTCATCTAAAACACCTTCGATCAAATAATTTGGAAAATGACCTTGATTTTGGTCATGGTTTAAATACTATAAAAATGACATTTTCAGAATAAATATAGTTAACTTGTTATTATTTTTTTAATACACATAAACTCAAATAGAAAAAATAAAATATAGAAATTAAACTAAATATTTTTAATAAAGTATAGAAACTAAAATTATAATAATCCCATTTACTATTAGTCAAGTTATTAGAACCAAAAAAAAAAAAAAAAAGTAAAGAAAAGAAAAGAAAAGGTGATTGTTCACAACCTAATTAATAAATCACCTGTGAAAATTTTAAGAGAAAACAACTCAATATATCATTATACAAAGGAATTAGTATATCCAATATGTCATTATATCTTAAATTAAATCAATTATATTTTTGTATTTTAAGTTTTTAATATGTCTTTTTATTGAATTTTTCCAATCAAACCACTGAAAAAACAGTAAATTGTAAATGATTAATTTTTTTTGGTCAAAAATACTTCTAAAAAATATGGTTTATACATGTTCAACTGAGGGATATTTTTTTTAAAAAAATTAATCATTTACAATTCACGTGATTTTTTCTAATAGTTTAACAAAAAATATTTTTTAGAATAACATATTATAAATTTACTTAAAATACAAGATATAATTAACTCATTTTAAAATAAAAAAAAATTCAACATTGAGTTTATTATATAATAAAGACTCGTCCATTTATCCATAGTTTTAGATTCATTGTCTTTGTAGGCCGAAATGGCTAAATCTAAAACTGACCAGCTTCACATCGTATCAATGGGCCTCCAAACCCATGTTAGCAAACTCTTCCATCAACTCCTAGCAAATTATTCTACTCGAAATATATCCAACCTTTTTTTTTTTTTTTGTCCTTTGTAGAATTCTTTTCTATTTTCATTAGCGAAAGAAACTATTCTTGACAAAAATGGAATTGAGCTTCAATTCCTTCCCAAGCTGCCTCCGATCAAATCAAAAATGGTCAGATGAGCTTGCTAACTCTAATTAAACTGGTCATTAGAGGCATATTTCTTTTCAACCTATATTAATGGGGTCAATATTCTAAGAATTCATAGTGGAAGTCACCCTAAATTCCTTGTGATTTGGGTTGCAATTGAACCCAAAGACAAGCCACAAAGAAAAGCCATAGTTGATTTGGTCTTGGTCCTTCCACCATTTTTTGGTCCATGCCAAAAAAGGGGGTATCTAGGACCTACTATCTTTTGGTGATCAACTCCCCAGGCGTGAGAGATCAAATTCCAAAAAGAAAAATGGAGGCACAGGCATAGAGAAGCCTTGTGGCTTGTATATAGTTGCTAGGGTGCAAAACTGCAACTGCAACGCTGATGTATAGTTTATGATATAAAAAACAGATGAAAGCAACTTGCTGCTTTAGCATTGAGCCACCAAGTTAGAATCCCCCACTTGGTTAAAATTATAGCCCGCAGTTTCTAGTCTCACACATACATTGATCAACTGGTTTTAGTTGCCATAAAGATTGCAACTTGCAACTTGCGACTAGCTAGTTGTGAAATTTCCAATTTTCAATATTTGTTTCAATAATTAGCCACCAAAAATTTACAAATAATTTATCTCAGTTATGACATAAAGATAGTATATATTGCATGTAGCAAAAAAAAAAAATTGTTATATTTAATAAAACATTCATTCTTGTCGATCTTTGACACAGGCATGAATGTACATGCGTGTCTTTAAAAAAACACACAAAAAGATAAAATAATTTAAACGAACATTCAATTTTACCTTCAATAGGTACATACGTAGATAAATAGGCATATATATACATACACTTAAAAACATGGTGAAAGATAAAACAAGATAGCCGTCAACTGGAGGTGGAGGTAGAGTATTCCAGCTTGGTGGTCCAGTTGAGTTTGGAGGAGTGGTCCTAAACCTATCTCAATAAGGCCATGCCTCCTTGAACTTTGGTTTCTTTTGTTTGTTTGTTAGATTTTTTCTATGTAATCATGTTCCAAATCGTAATATTTTCCATGATCGATCGATCACCAGGAATCGAACTAACAATTAGTCAGCTAAGTACACCAGATTTCCCATTTGGGATGAACAAAAGTACACAAGATTAAAATTAATAGAGTAGAACTTGTTATTAGTTGAAAATTAAGCCAGCTGTCAAAACTTGAAAACTTGTGTTCGTGTATGTGTTACATAGTTTTGTCATGAAATCAGAGAGATAGAGAGAGGTCCCCCTCAAACTTGATGTACACGACAGGCACTTCCAAATCCACTGTTGAAAGTTGAAGAAAACCGATGAAATCCTTTTATCGTCAACAGATATTGCAGATGAATTTCTTTCACAATAACAGTGAAGCCCTATTGTCCTAAACTTAGCTAGGATGGGGAGAGGAAGTTGAAGAAGAAAAAGGAAAGCATGCAACAGCTACATATATGTCTTTTAATAAGTGAGTACGTACGTTAATACTTCTAACAGGTTAGACATCAATGGCTATCCTTGCCCCATCCTTCTGCACATTGCTTGATTTATCATTTTTGGATTATAGCCAGCCAGCTAGTTTGATATGCATGGTAAGTACACAAATTGTGACCTTTTTTTTTTTTTTTCAATCCTTTAATTTATTGCTTTGTTAGGTCTATTCTCATAGACATTGATAAGTTTCCAACAACAATTAATTATCTTTGGGACATGCATGACTTGTCAATTTTCGTTCTAATTGATTGATTTCAAAGGTTGCTGCTAAGACCTTCAATTAATGCAAGTTCATGTGAAACTTCTGTAATTTCATTTTTCTTGAAAAGGGTATGGGAGGGATTGACTCAGATCCTTCATAATCACATATCAAAGGATATATATTTAGGAAAAAATAAGTTGGCGGAGATCGCACAAAATTCTTCTAATGTACAGTTTTAATAATTAAGAAGCCAAGAATTTTTAAGTTGGATTGCATTTATATGATTATCTTTGCCATGAAACTTCAGCTTCATTGGAGATTGTATTAAATTATTCTCATCTACCTAAAGGTGGGAATCCCATTGATGATCTTGAGTAGGAGAATTGTGCAACAGCTAGATCATCAGCTAACCTAGCTTATATAAATTGCCACTTGATTTTGTTTTATTTTATAAGACATGATCTAATAAAAGTGATCATTTTTTATTTTGTTTTACTAATAGCCTTTTGAGTTCTGTCTCTGTCAAATAATGCTAAAAAATAAGTTCATTAAAAAATAATTAAAAGGTATCCAATTGATAATTAAAGACTTTTGAGAGTGCAAACGACTTTTTAAATGACCAAATATTCCTTTACCAAATACTCGTTGGCTTTTAGAACTCAAAATCATATAACTTGAATTGAATGGTGTCTATTATCAGACTTGCATACCCTAACGATGCATCTTGAGAAATTATCAGCATTAATAATAATCCATATAGATAATAAATGGGTTTTTTTATCCATATATATAGTCCCCTTGTTTATCCATCTATATATTGTATTGATTGAGTTTATCTACTCTTTATTTTGCAACTTAATGATCTGTTTTCAGATCATGCATAAATTGATACAACTTGTTAACCGCAAAAGAAATATCTGGTTCGATTAAAGTGACATACCGCAAAGCACCAATAACTTAGCGATACGGAGTAGGGTCTTCAAAGGTAGAGCTATCATGCTTTGTTAATTTTGACGTTGTTGGCATTGGTGTAGATACTCGAACGACAAGAAATCATACCATGTTTAGGCAAAATATTAGTAATGTATTTCCTTTGTAAGAGGATCATCCCCTATGTAATTTTAACAACCTCAATACTAAAAAAGAAACCGATGTCTCTAAGGTCATGGATGGCAAATCTAGAGTTCATAGCCGATATCATGAATTGAAGAAAGGAACAATTGTTACTTGTGATTAAGATATCATCAACATTGTCGCTACCCGACGTCGGACGGGACTCCCAAAATAAAAAAAGAATATTATAGATACGACTCTCAATGTATCGCATTTTTATTTGCGTAACTATTTGCGAGCTTGGAGTCGCCACCTAGTATTGAAGGAACTAGGAACCTAAAATTAGCACTCGGTTCGGAGACTATATGGTAAGGAGTCGTTTACGCTTATGGGAAGATAATTAATCACCCAAAAGTGTCCTTTCTTAAGAAAGGTACCACGTCTAGCTTAGTCTTAAATTATCTCCTAAAGTATTTTATTTTTGCCAAATTATTTTTTTCAATTTTTTGAGACTCCAATTCAAGTCAAATTATTTTTTGTATTTTTGAGCGTGACATTGTATTGAAACGATCGTCGGACCCCTTCCGTCGAGAGACACGTCGGCTCAAACATCGGATCCACTTTTTTAGTCTCGACACAACCGGTGTGCCGGAGAACACTTGTTTTATTAGAAAAAAACTTTTTTTTGGCTAA